TGTTACAGAACTGTAACAGGGTAAGGGATGACTTCTAGATGATGTTTAGAAGCTTTAGGAACAAAAAGGCTTGAAAACGCACGAGGGAGTTATGAGTTTCAAACTTTTGGTCAGGTTATGGGAAAATGGAGGTATGAGATGCAAATCTGAGTTCTTGGTGTTTTCAGGGCTCAAGCATGCGTGGGATTTGTGAAAAATTACTTGTGTATATATAAGCAAAAGGCTTTAGTGCTTGGGAGAGTCAGAAGTACAAGTTATAGGCTGATTGTTATGTTACTTGATTTTGAAGAAAAGTGGGAAAACAAGTTTCAATGTGTAGTACAAGCATGGGCTGGGTGATTGTAAGTGTTGAGAACAACTTCTCTTGAGTTATAGGACATGTATGATCATAAGAAAACAATTGCAAGGCTCAAGAACAAGTTTTGTGCAAAAATCTACTTTATCAAAATGGTATTGTGCACTTTCTTCCCAAAATGGATATAAAGCATGGCCTTGTATTGAATGCTTGAATTAAGACCTCTAATAGCTGTGCAAGCAATTAATTATGGAGTGCCTAACAAGTTTGATGCCTGTAAAGTAGAGATTATGCAGCATAGGTTTGAAATTTGAATCTTGTTCATCACAAAATGACTTGTATTTCAAGTGTGAAAACCCTAACTTCATCTCTTCGATTCTCCCTACTCAAGAATGATCTTAAGGAGTTCTTGGATATTTTGAAAGGCTTGTAATGTGCTCTACAACCCCTATTTGAATCACTTTTGAAAATTACCCTTGGAACTATATGAAAAAGTTCCATGAAGTCAGGTCAAAATCCTGACCAAAACTAGGGCAGAATTTCACTAAGTGTCCAATTTCAAGACCATGACTTTAGGAATTAATAACTCGAGATCCAAGCATTTTTAGGAGAAGTTGTATAAAGAAATTTTGTAGATATCATGGATATATACAACTCTCATGTTGAAAGTTTCTTCTGAATCCTCTTGTATCATGGTGAAAAATTGGCCCAAAGTTATGAAAAAACATGAAGTTTAAACACTTCTAAGAAAACTTTGACTTTTCAAAATGAAATCTTGACTTTTTGATTTCTTGATGAATAAGTTTCATATTTTGACATTTTTTGATGAATTGTGATCTTTGGCATTGAACTTTGACCAAAAAGTCAAAGTTTGACTTTTTAGTGTACAATTGACTTTTTGATAGTTGACTGAAAATTCACTATCAGTCCAAATGATCTTGAGCAATGTTTTAGGTCATACCATTAGGTCAAAATGATGCAATTGAACTCTTGAAATTATGCTTCAAACCAATTGACCATTTTCTAGGTCAAAAACCAGAAATTGCCCTTTCTCAATCAAAACCCTAATTTTGACCATTTTGCCCTTTTGATGATTTGATCAAATTAATTGGGGAATTTTGGTCCAAATTTGATCAAATGATACATATGAGTTTATAATATTGATGTGGACTAAAAATTATGAAGTTTGACTGTAAATTGGCCATAGTTGACTTTTCCCCAATACAACTGATTTCTAGGTCAATTGTTCAATTGTCTGAGCAAAAGTGTGATCCAAGGCTTGAAACTTGACATGAGTAATCTTGGGGGTCCATAGTGATCCATGAAATTCATATGAAGCATTGAAAGTTCAAATATCCTTGTGCAATCTCAAACCCTAATTTTGGTCATTAGTGCTTAAGGAGGTGTCTTGAGCTGATCAACCCTAGTGCAGTCTTGAACCAAGAGAGGTCTTTGTGAGAAAATATTTGATAAATGAGAGCGCAAATTTTGGGGTACAACATATAATATATTAATATATATTTTAATAGATGATCGATCAGTGTTACTGTTACATTTATATATCAGCAAGATATTGAATACAAATTTTTCATAAACATTATAATAGTTATTATTTAAAAATGATGCACATAATTGTTTGTTGTAATAGACTTCCCGTCTAATTGAACAATGTTGCTACGATTTTTTTTTTGCATATGAATGATACTGATGTATATCTTAATGCATTCGTATAAACGTTCATATAGATGTACATGTTGCTGCTATTGATACAATTAATTTGTTGCTGCCATTTTGTATTTTATGTTGCTGTTGTAATTTCATTGTAATGCAACATTGTCAAATATATACTCAATGTTGTCGTAAATTTTACTTTGCCATTAATTCTATAATTTGAACATCTATGTGATTATTGTCATAAATCTGTATGTGAAGTGTTGTTTGTATATTTTTTATAGATATGCAGTTGTCAATAACAGAGTTGAAGAATTTGATACTCATTGAGATTGAGAATATGTTGCAATCAAATCGAAGAAGTTTGCATGAATTTAAAGATATGCCTTATCCAGATTCATATGCCACGTGACACGTGGGAAATAGAATGATTTGGGACGAACGTAATTATAATTCCCAAATTGAACGATAAAATTTCCAAACTCTCTATCGTGCACTTACAGGTTATTCTTTTAATTTATATTCACAACCTGTGATATTACAATCCGTTTTTTTAGTTATACACATAGTAATATTTACATTTTAATTCACAGATGAACGACGTTCAATATTTGATACGATTATGGAAGCTACAGACAAGTAAAGAGGAGGGTTATTTTTTCTACATGGTTAAGGAGGGACCGGTAAAACTTTCATGTGGATAACATTATCAAGTGCACTTCATTTGCAACAAAAAAATTATTCTTACCGTTTCTTCAAGCGGCATAGCTTCGTTATTATTTCCAGGTGGAAGAACTGCTCACTCAAATTTCAAAATACCAATGCTAACACTTGACAACTCTACTTGCAATATTGACAAAAATGACAAACATTCCCAATTATTTGAAGCAACAGATGTTATAATACAGGACGAAGCACTTATGTCTCATATGAACTGTTTTAAGGCAGTGGATAAGACACTCAAAGATGTCATGAACAAACACGGTCTTGCGAATACAATCTTTTGTGGGAAAATTATTGTTTTTGGAGGAGATTTCAGACAAATACTTTCAGTTGTTCCAAGAGTGGGGCGTTCTGATAATGTTCATGCATCAATATGCTCATCATATGTATGTGACTATTGTCAAGTTATAACACTAACAAAACATATGAGGCTGCAGCAGGAAAGATATAATACAAGTTCGAATGAACAAGCATAATTTTCAAAATGGATCTTAAATATTAGGGATGGTAAGATATATGAACCAAATAATGGATAGGTTGAGATAAAGATTCCTCAAAAATTATTGATATCCAGTTTTGATGATCCTATAAAAGCTATTGTTGATAGCACATATCCCAATTTGTGTTGCGTGACAATTTTCAGGATGTTGAACACTTACAAGGAAAAGCTATTCTTGCATAAACCATTGAAGTTGTGAACAAAATCAACTACTATGTACTGGACATGATACATGTAATATAATTTTAACTTTAATATATACATACATATATATATATATATATATATATATATATATATATATATATATATATATATATATATATATATATATATATATATATATATATATATATATATATATATATATATATATATATATATATATATATATATATATATATATATATATATATATATATATATATATATATATATATATATATATATATATATATATATATATATATATATATATACACACACAACTTCCAACAACAAATTTATATCATGATAATTTTATTAATGTATTAATATTTTCACTTCATGGCATTTTTAGGAGAAGAGAAAGAGTATCTAAGTTTCGATTCAATTGATAGAACTGATACAAGTTATACTGAAGCTTATGAAGTTCTAACCCCAGAATTATTAAGTAAACTAAGAACATCAGGACTTCCAAATCATAGGATCAAATTGAAGGTTGGTACCTCCATCATGCTAATGAGAAATTTGGATCAAACTGATGGATTGTACAATGGAACAAGATTAATTGTTACAAGGTTAGCAAATCACGTCATTGAGGCCAAAATTATGTCATGAAAGAACATAGGTAAAAAAATTTCCATTCCTCAAATGTCTATGTCACCTTCTGAGCCACCGTGGTCATTCAAGTTGATTAGGAGATAATTTCCAATCATTGTCTCATATGCAATGACAATTAATAAATCCCAAGGTCAATCGCTCGATAATGTTAGATTATTTTTGCCTACACCTGTTTTTAGTCATGGACAATTGTATGTTGTAATTTCGAGAGTTACAACTAAAAGTGGTCTTAAAATCTTAAGATATGACAAACAGAATGCACCGTGTTCAACCACTATGAATATTGTATACAAAGAAGTCTTCCAAATAATTTGTTAGTTGGTAATCCTTTTCACCTATTTCTTTGTGATACAAATTAAATCCCAATGTTTAATTTATGTGTTTCAATACCACATATTTATATTAGTTTTAAAAAAATGCATAATATTTAATATCTAATTTGATATATTTTCTCATACAGATGTATAATACAAATCGTTGTTGTTGGTTGGTTCACCGACAAATTTAACTATAAAATATATAATATTGAGAAATTTATATTTGGACTTATAATACTGAAAAATTTATTTATTATTAGAGCAAGTCATATAAATTTTGTTATTTAATATATTATTTTGTTCAAAACTAATTGCATTTTAATTATTTTTTATTAGTTTAATTTTGATATAAAATAAAATTTATATGAAAAGTATACGGACCGTGCTATTATTTATTTAAATTTAGAAAAAAAAGAAAAAAAAATTATTGACACCGGATGGAATCGACTTGGTGAGCGCTGACTCTTTCGATCATATCAAAACAAATTTCTTATTTAAATTTAAATAATAGTTGTATATTTTAAAATAAATAACAACCCATATCTTAGATTTACAACAAACTTTCTTTCACTTTTCTCACATCAGTCACTGCGTAAACATTCGCTCGCGGGTTCTACTGTTTTCGGCCGCAATTTTCTCTCAATTTCTTCAAGAAACCTTCAATCGACGAACAATGGTTAGTTTTTGTCTACCTATTTTTCGAAAAATATGATTTTTTTTTATATTTTTAAATTGGGGTTTTGGGAAAATATTGAATATGAATGAATTCTGAATTCTGAATTAGGGTGAACAATGCATTAATCATTAAGGCGTGAAATTTTCTCTTTAGGTTTCTGTTGATTTGTTTTGACATGTTGAAATTTTGTCTTGATTTGTGTTGTAATCTATGAAGCACATACTCCAACACGACCACCGCTACAAGACATGGACACACTGACTCTTTGACACTAATATGTCAAAAACCTAGGACTAGACACAGACACAGATATGTCAAAAACCTAGGACACAGACTCTAACACCGTGACATATGTCATAGTATTTGAGTTTCATTTATCTATTCAATATTAAAAGAGTTAAAAATATTCTAATTAAAATTAATGTATTCAATTCTTCATTGATAGCATTGCTTTAATAAATGTTGAACTCTTTAAATTGTGTGTTAGATTTGTTTACAAAATGTATAAGGTGTGTTGAAGTAAAAAAAAAAAAACACAATTATTTTTAAAGAAAACTTGTCTGAATTGTTTGACTACTCACTTATAAGTGTCATATGGGTGTCAGGCACGGATTCAGAATGTGTCAAGCAAAGAAAATAGACCAACTTTTTGGGGTCACTTGTCTGACTTTTTTGGGGCACCAATGTATGGTTTGAGTTATTTCGTTTGTTTCTGGATAGTAGAATTATTCAAATGGTTTAGTTTTTGAACCTAAATGCAAGAAAGTCTAGGTAGTTGATTCTGAATGTTGCCTTGATATTAATCTATGCCCTCTGTCATGAATCAATTGTTTCAAACACTTAACTTGTTTGCTGAAAGAAGCGATTGGTTTCATATATAATTCATTTCTTTATGTTTGAATGTTTATTTGTAGAATGGAAATTCTCAAAACAATTTTAGAGGTGGCTGGAATAATATGCCACCCACTCATTTTAGTCGGGGACAAATTCCTCACGGTAGTGGTCCTCGCGCCTTTGCTCATAACTGGCACATACCTCATCAAATGCCGGCATACTATGCTCGTAACCCGCACATACCATATCAAGCGCCGACATACTATCCTGATAACCGGCACATACCACATCAAGCGCCGGCATACTATCCTGATAACCGGCACATACCACATCAAGCGCCGGCTCACTATGTTGATAACAGGAACTTACCACATCAAAAACCAACTGATAAGTTGAATCCCAAGGATATGAAAAATCATAAAGAAGGAAAGAGATTTCGAAGAAGGTTATTAAAACTACTTGAGCAAACGAAACGTAAACCTTCCAGTGGAGAAGAGATTAGACATAATCAAAGTTCTCAAATTAGTAAAGAAGTCTATGCTGCTAACAAGTGCTTATCACAGCAAACACCTAAAGACTGTGCTGATAAGAGTCAGTTACCCGATCAAACATCAGAACAGTGTGCTGATAAGAACTTATCACAGCAAGCACCTAAAAACTGTGCTGATAAGAGGCAGTTATCTGATCAAACATCAGAACAGTATGCTGATAAGAACTTATCACAGCAAACACCTAATGACTGTGCTGATAAGAGGCAGTTATCTGATCAAACATCAGAACAGTATGCTGATAAGAACTTATCACAGCAGACACCTAAAGACTGTGCTGATAAGAAGTGCTTACCACAACAAACACCTGAAGACTGTGCTAATAAGAAGTGCTTACCACTGCTTTTACAAAAATGTGAAATTTGTGATCTTAAGTTGGATCCCAAGTCTATGGATAGTCATATCAAAGGAAAGAGACATCGAAGAAGGTTAACAGAACTACGTGAACAATCAACGAAACATAAAACTTCAAATGGAGAAGAGATTAGACCTAATCGAAGTTCTCAAACTAGTTATAAGAGATTACAACCGATGATACGTTGTGAAATTTGTAATGTTCAGTTAGGTCCCAAGTGTTTGAAATATCATAATAATGGACTGAAACACAAACTAAGGGTATTAGAACTACGCGAGAAATCAATGAAACATAAAGGTTCAAATGGGAAGGAGATTAGCCATATTCGAAGCTCCCAAATTAATCCAGTAGTTCAACCTGTTGCTCATGTTCCAGCTGAAATGTCTAAAAGGAAAGTCAGGGATAACACCGATGCAAAGGATCATGGTTTTAAACACGAGATTGAAGGAGCAACAGGAGGTAAGTACATGAAGATGAATAATGGGATAAGAGGGTCTGTAAAAAATGATCAGGCACAGTCAACTCCAGTTGAATTGATGGCCTCAGCAGGCGCTAATATTATTGCCGAAAAAGAATATGTAAGTTGTGATTTTGCTGCAACAGTAATACCACAAGGTCCTGTGGCTTCTCATGTATTCACACCACCACCACCAGCAGTAGAATCAAGTTTTGAACCCAAAAATCGTATTGATTTACCGAGAGAAGTAACAGTAGCCAAAGAACATCAATGTGGTGTGGAAACAAATGATGAGCTGCAATTAATCTCAATGGATGCAGTGGGGTCAAGTTTTGAGCCTGGAACTGAGCATGGTCTAGATACTGAAACAGAACCGCATATGTCGGAAGCCATATTATATACTGAGAGCCAACATCCCACGGAGGAAACAGATATTGAACTGCTGCCACCTGTCTTAATGGAGACTGATGTCGCTTTAGAGGTCAGTGCTGAAACCAAAACTGAAGATGGAAATTCTCAAGCGGAAATGAAGATGGATGTCGATCTTTCCCCTGAATCAGGGAAGACTAAGTTGCTTAAGGTATTTCCCATCATCTGATTTCCAAAAGAAGTATCAAATTATACTGCACTTATTTTTTGTTAAAATGTGTGCTTTTTTGTTGTTATATACAACTTTTATGAATCGTTACATTAAAACTTTGCTTGCTTGTTGCAGGTGTCTGTTTGTCTTACGTGTGGGGATAAAGGCTTTGAAAAGTCAATAGTATATTGCAGCAAATGTGGAGATTATGCAATGCATAGGTAGTTTTTACTTACTCTTTCCATGTGAAGATTACATGTACTTACTCTTTAGCAGACACATCTACTTTTATTGCCATATCATATGGACACTAGTGCTTATTCCCGTGCGATGCTTGTATGCTTAGAGAGGAGCTTATTTTTTTTATCAAGAGTTATGGTTCTAGTAGACTGAAATATTTTAGCCTTATACCGACAAGGTTACTGAAATTTTTTATATCTAAACTTCTTCTTTCCAGATATTGTTTAGCCCGTCCTGTGGCTTTTACCGACAAGGTTACTTGGTTTTGTATGGATTGTGAAGAAGTGGTAGTAGAAGCAGAACGTCCTAACAGTGAGACTCCCGAATCAAAAAAAGATGAAGTTGTTTGTGATCCGCAGCCTATTGCTGATCCAATCTGGAGGTAAAAACCATGTTTTGTAGATTCTGTCACGGTCATTTGGAATTAATGAATTTGTCGTAGCTGCTAAAGCAAAAACATTGTCTGACGTTGAATTTTCTGTTAAATAGGGGAAGTTTGCAGGTTTTCAACAAAAGCTTTGATAAAATCAGGGGATTAATGGGCCATTTGTCCACATTAGCTAGCCCTAAAGTTCTTGAAGAGGCAAGTCATCTCCCTGATGTGCTTTATGCCAACTTGCTTCAAAGATCAGCTGTGTGGCCAGAGAGCTTCAAGAAATTTAGAACAAATAATCTGAGCATTGGTCTCTATTTCTTTCCTGAGAATGAAAGGTGACATTTCTACTAATCTTTTTAATAACATTTTTGATTTGGTAAAGTTTTTTCCCCCTCATTTCTTGTTTATAGAAATATTACTTTTGTTTTCTGTTTTAAGTAATTTGTATTAAGACATCAAAAACAACATTTTTATGTGTTTAAAGATATGTTTGCGCCCATGACTGCCACAACAATAACAGCAAACAAGCCTTATTCCACTAAGTAAGATCGACTACATGGATTAAATTCATAGGTCTTTAACCTGTGACATACTATAAAAATTAACTTTATTTTGAACTGTGTTTATTGTTTTTATAATATTTAATTAAAAAATAATACAATCTCCATGCTCATATTTGAAACTAGTATTGAATTAATTGTTGAAATAATTGTTGAAACTAGTATTGAATTAATTGTTGAAATAATTGTTGAAACTAGTATTGAATTAATTGTTGTGTGTTTTTACAGAGTTGAGAGATATTATGACCAGCTAGTTGATGAAATGATTTCCAAAGATCTTGCCATTAGAGTCATAGTTGAAAAAACTGAGCTTATAATTTTTCCTTCTACATTGCTCCCAAGACAATACAAGAGTGAGTTACATTCCATTACATATAGACTTCTTCATATAAATTTTATTGTTTGTTGATAATTGTATCTTAATTTTTGAGTTGCCCATTTTGCAGGATTTCATTCAAAATATTATTTGTGGGGAATTTTTAAAAGCAAGTCTCAAGCACCTTGAAAGATACATGATCCTGGTTATGGCAATAATGTTGATGTCTTAACGACATAATAGTCTTTTTTGTTACAAAAAAATGTAATACCACTGTTTAATTGTATATTTAATAATATAAGTTATTAGGGAGACATTAAGAAAGAGGAAAAATTACTTGAGGTACAATTCATGTATAAATTTTTGTTAATTTTTTAATCTAATAATTATTATCTAAGTAAAATTCTTTGTATTATTTTTATAAAACTTCAAAATATTAATAATTAATAATAAAATAAAAAATGAACAATTATGTAATTTAAAAAATAAAAATGAAAATAAATTTTAAATAACAATACATTTTTATAGGTTTAAACCAAGTTGGACTAAAAAATAATTAGAAAATGTTAAACATTTGACCTTTCATCAATAAACCTAATTTTTTCTTAAGGGCTAAGAAATCTAAGAAAAAATTGAGAAAAAATATCGAACAGAGATAGAAATTTTTGTATTTTGTTTGTTTTTATAAAATATGTTTATGTTTAAGTTGAGATTTATAATATATATTTTAATATTTATTTTGAAGATTAAAATTAAATATCATTACAAAAATTAATTTTTATAAATAATACAATAAAACAATAATGATACAAAGAAAGAATTGATTATTTCAAAGGACTAAAAGTAAATAAAATTGTAAAACTAAAATTTTGATTTTTTTTAACAAACAAACTTTGTATTGATTCAAAAAGTAAAATTGAAATAAAGGCAGTCGCTAGGATCCAGCCAACAGAAAAGACAAAAGCAAATCAGAGAAAATTAAATCATCATTAGTTTAGTCATATGATCTCTAAGTTTTCCATTATACCAACATCTGTAAACTATCATATTTATAATATTATCCACTATTTTTGTATTATCAACAGTATAAACGAAACTTTTATCGTTACGGTATCTCCAAACTGCATATAAAGTTTCAGCAGAAGTAAATTTCAAAATTGCATCTTTCTATCATTTCTCCTTTGTGGATGATATTAACACATCTAATACTTTGTTCCACTCACGCGGAACTCTCTTGATTTGGACCCATTCAAGAACTTTAGTCCAAATTATATTAAGCTCAGGGCATCCATAAAAAAAAGTGATTAATTGATTCCTCAGCAGGACAAAAACAACAACTGTTAGGAGATATAATTCTTGCTCTGTTGAAGAGCATAGGTGTATGTTGAATAGCTAGTGCTGATAGGTTGTCAACTGTATTCGACAACGTCGAAAATATCAACTATGTAGTATTGGGCCTGAGCATTGTATGTCTATATAAAGGGCTTGTTAGTTTGTAATTAGTAGAATCACATCAATAACATATTTTCACAATTCAATTTAGTTACAGTTTTATAACAAACTTCAAATCTCTCTCTCTCTCTCTCTCTCTCTCTCTCTCTCTCTCTCTCTCTCTCTCTCTCTCTCTCTCTCTCTCTCTCTCTCTCTCTCTCTCTCTCTCTCTCTCTCTCTCTCTCTCTCTCTCTCTCTCTCTCTCTCTCTCTCTCTCTCTCTCTCTCGCTCTCTCTCTCTCTCTCTCTCTTCTTCGTCTTCTTCTTCTACTACTACTTCTTCTTCTACTTCTTCTTCTTCTTCTTCTTCTACTACTTCTTCTTCTTCTTCTCTCTTCTTCTTCTTCTACTACTACTTCTTCTTCTTCTTCTTCTTCTTCTTCTTCTTCTTCTTCTTCTTCTTTTATAAATCATCATTCTTGAAAACTCTTTGTTCCAACAAATTGGTATCAGGGCCTGATTGTGATTCAGAGAGAATCTAATGGCAAATGAAACAACAAAGTCAATGCAGTTTTCAACGATCTACCAGTTTTTAAATGTGAAAACTATCAGCGGTGGGTTGCACAGATGAAAGTTATTTTCAGATTTCAAGATGTTGTTGAAATCTTGAATGATGGAGTATCAGAACTAGAAGCAAATACGACAGATACTCGGAAAGCTGCACACAAAGATCAAAGGAAGAAAGATGGTAAAACATTGATTCACTAGTGTGTGGATTCTAATGTATTTGAGAAGATAATTGAAGAAGAAACAGAGAAAGGTGCTTAGGAAAATCTAAAGAGTTTGTATGGCGGAGATGAGAAATTGAAGAAGGTGAAGTTGCAGATATTGAGAAAGTAATACGAGATGATTCAGATGAAAGAAGATGAATCAATTTCTGCATATTTCTCAAGAATTGTGACGTTAACAAATCAGGTGAAGGCATGTGTTGAATCAATTACAGATCTGCAGAAGATAGAGAAAGTATTGAGATCTCTAACTGTATATTTTGACTACATTATTGTGACAATTGAATAGGCCAAGACTCTATCCGAGATGAAGTTAAAAGAACTTCAAGCTTCATTAGAGGCTCATGTGATGAGGTTGAAGCAGAGAAACTCAGAAAGAGAGAATATGGGTGAACATGCATTGCAATCAAGATTAAGCAAGAAAGCTAGAAAAGAGAAGTCGAAGCAGCGAAATAATCTTGCTAGTGATGAGAAATCAAGTAAGAATACTGATTCGATCAAGAAAGGTACGGGCAATAAGTATTTTGGGAAGAAAGTTGACACGAAAGAGGAGCAGTGTTACAATTGTCAAGGTTTTGGTCACTATGCTCGAGACTGTCGAAGAAAAAAAGCAGCAAGGGCAAAAGATAGTGATGAAGTTCAATATGCACGAGCTGGAGATAACGATTCTGATGATGTGTTGTTGATGGTCAACACTCAGTCAAACACTGAGAAAAACAACATGTGGCATATGGATTCAGGATACAACAACCACATGACTAGCAATAAAAACTGGTTTACCAAGTTAGATGAGTCATTTGAAAAGGTGATAAAGTTTGCAGATGGCAGGCACATCAAATCAGGTGAGAAAGGAGATATTTCGATTGTCAAGAAGGATGGTCGAAAGGCCATTATCACTGAAGTATTGTATGGACCTTCTATGACAAGTAACTTGATAAGTGTAGGTCAATTACTTGCAAAAGGTTTCAATATGAAGCTGGAGAAGAATCAGATGAAGGTATATAGGGATGATGAGAGGCTAATAATGAAAGCACCATTGGCAGAAAATAAAACGTTCAAAGTTGAACTCAACACATCAGATCATAAATTCCTGGCTTCAACTACAAAAGAAGGCAAGAACTGGCTATAACACCACATGTATGGACATTTAAACTTCAGAAGTTTATGCATGCTCAATCAGAAAAGTATGGTGTGTGGGTTGCCTTATGTGAAGGAACCAAGGTAGGTCTGTGAGAAATGTTGCAAAGAAAAGCAGGCGAGGAAGGCATTCAAACGTGACTTGCCCGTAAAATCAAAGCAAAAACTAAAGTTAGTTCATTCTGATGTGTGTGGACCTTTTGAAGTAAAGTCAAACGGAGGTAACAAGTATTTCCTTAATTTCGTTGATGAATTCACCAGACATATGTGGATTTACCTTATTGAAAGGAAGAGTGAGGTATTCACACAGTTCAAGAAGTTAAAATTGCTTGCGGAGAAATAAAGTGGCTGCAAATTGAAGAAGTTAAGAACTGATGGTGGTGGTGAATATACTTCTGTTGAATTTGCTAGATTTCGCAATGAGGAAGGTATAGAGCATGAGGTTATTGCACTTTATACGCCTCAGCATAATGGCATAGCTGATAGAAAGAATATAAGTATACTGAACATGACGAGAAGTATGCTGAAAGCTAAAGATATGCCTAACATATTTTAGGTTGAAGTAGCTTCAACATCAGTATATATTCTAAACAGATGTACAACGAAGAAGATGGTCGAGAAGACACCTCATGAGGCTATGAACATAGTCAAACCCAAACGCGAGTCATCTTAGAGTTTTTGGATCAATGTGCTTCAGGCATGTACCTGAACAATTGAGAAAGAAGCTAGATGATCAAAGTGAAGTCACGGTGCTCATAGGTTATCATTCGACTGGTGCATACAAGTTGTATTCGCCAAACAAAGATAAACTAGTGATCAATCGAGATGTTCTTGTGGATAAAAGCAAAGGATGGGACTAGATTCAAGGTTCAACTCGATATGAATCAGATACAGTCACAACTGTGTTCGAAGAAGATCAATAGAATGAGACTTCAATGAGTCGAAATGAACAAGGTGATGCTTCAACCAGACAAAATGAAGAACCACCTATACAAAATGAAAGAAGGTCGATAAAAATAAGAACTGAGTCGACAAGGCTAGCTGGATATGAAAGATTTCTAGATCAAGCAGTTGATGCAGATGGTGATTTAATAGAAGAAGCCATGATGATGGTTGAAGCAGAACCAATTGACTTGGGTGAAGCCATGAGTAATTTGAATTGGTGTGAAGCCATGAAAGAAGAACTCAGGGCTATTGAGAAGAACAAGACCCGAGAGCTTGTCGAAAGAACCAATAAGAAACCAATCAATGCAAAGTGGATTTACAAGGTGAAAAGAAGGCCAAATGGTGAGATTGTGAAGTATAAAGCAAGATTGGTGGCGAAAGGTTTTCTATAAAAACCTGCTATCGACTTTGACGAAGTATATGCACCTGTTACGAGACTAGAAACAATTAGAATTTTTGTTTCAATAACAGCATATAGAGGACGGAAGATGCATCAACTGGATGTAAAGTTAACATTTTTGAATGAACCATTTGAAGAAGAGGTATATGTTACTAAACCACCAGGATTTGACATCAAAGGGAAGGAGTCGAAGGTATATAGATTAAGGAAGGCTCTCTATGGTTTGAAACAAGCTCCTAGAACTTGGAATAAGAGAATAGATAGCTTCTTGGTCGAAGCAGGTTTCACAAAGTGTGTCTCTGAACATGGAGTGTATGTAAATGATGTCAAAGTGGTAGTCGAATCATTTTATGCTTCTATGTTGATGACTTACTCATTACTGGAGCAGACGAAGCTGAGATAATGAAAGTTAAGTCGAAACTAATACAGGAATTTGAGATGTCTGGCCTAGAGAATCTTTCATATTTCCTAGGGGTGGAATTCAAAATA